TTAGCTTTGCAGAGGCTGCAGACTCTTTTTTTTATTTTTTACAATGGACAGTGATATGCATTCTGTGTGCTTTTTTTGCTGGCACCGAATTGGAGCGATTATGGAGTGCCCTCTTTTTCATGGATTTTAAACTGCAAGTAACTAACAACCAACTAACTCTAGCAAGAACACTAGCACATTGAATAGTGTAGCCCTAAAATAAATAGTACAGAAAAACTTCATAAACTACATCAAAGTTTTATTCAGACATGCAGAGAATCAACACAAGCAGTACTAGACAAACATCTGTAAAATGATCTAGAAGCATAATAACTGTTCAGAGGGATGAGTACTTGATTCCACAAAATCCCTGTGTGGATTCTGGGGCCCCATCGTGGGGAAAACAAGAATAGACCCACTGCCTCCCCAAAAGCATGTTGTAAGAGTCGACTAATTGGGGAGCTTCCTTTGAAGTCGGAGTGCATCTGCCTGAGAGGCAAGGAACCAACAGTCTGCATTCAAGTGAATCAGATCTGTAAAACTGATGCACATGCAACACTCAGGTTCTGGAGCAGGACTGCAGTTCAGAAGTGGACGAACAACCAGAACTTTCCACCAGAGTGTACAGCTGGTGAACGCGAAGAAGAAGAAGAAGATGATTCCAGATATGGATTCTGGAGCCCTATTTGGACGGAACAAATAATAGACTCTTAAATCAACCAATGTGTTGTAAAAAGATGACTAATTAAGAATTTGCTGAAACTTGATGTGTTGGGCTGAAAGATGCAGATATCACAGCCTAGCTGTAAATGACAGCATAACATGCTAAATGCTCTTTTAACGATGGTTGCAGAAGTATTCTCTTTCTTCTTCTTTGTGTGGCCAGCTGTACACTCCGGCAAGTTCTGGTTATTTACCTACTTCTGGGCTTTGGTCTTGTTCCAGATCTTGAGTTTTGCTTATGATATCCAGACTTTTGGTTCCTTGCCTGTAAGGAAGATGTACTTTGATTTTGAAGGAAACACCCCTAATTAGCTGCCTTTTAGGCCAGGGCTACTCAACTAAGTTGGCTTAGGGGCCAAAATGTTCACAAACGGGGATCGTCACGGGCCACTGGCCCCAGCCCCAGCATAGAAATATCAAAAATACAATACAGCTAGAAGTGATCCGCGGGCCACTTGCTAGGCCTTGGCGGGCCAAATTTGGCCCTCGGGCCGCCAGTTGAATGGCCCTGTTTTAGCCCATGCTTGTGAGGGGGCAATGGATCTAAGCTTTTCCTTCTAAAATGGTGCGCCCACTCAAGGATCTTGAGAACTCGATCTGTTTCTTTGTCAAGCAAGACTGACCTTCAACAAATGCTGTCTCTCCAACAGGTTGCCATGTGGGTACTGGTCACTCTGTTGCTCATCTACGCCAAGGTCTGCATCGCCGGAGTCCTGAGAAAGCATGGGAGGACTGCACTGATATGGGCAGGTGCCTGTACCCAGATTGGAGCCTTCATTGGGGCGGTAGTCGGGTTTGTTCTTGTCAATGAGTACAAGCTGTTTAAGGATGCTCCTTACTGTACTTAGTGGGATGCACAAATAATAGTGCTCAGAGTGGGGAAGTGTGTGAGAGTGCAGTGAGTGGGGCGTAGAACAAGAATTGAAGAAGGTCAGTTCCTTCATCTTCTTGTAGTTTATGCCATATTGTGTTTGCAGTCATGTGTGCCCACATACTTCTGTCAAATGTACAGTCCATCATTTCTGATACAAATGCTTGTCTATAACATGGGCCAAATTGTTCCAACATCTTGTTTGTCTCTATGTCTCTCTCCCTCTCTCTCTCTCTGTCTCTCACACTGTCACTTCCCCTTTACTTTTCCCAATTGCTCACTGTATTTCCCTGGGACTAACACAGGGTTCTACAAATTCCATTAGTGCTCTTCAGTGTGTTCATAGGCTAGATTAGAAAATTTTAAACACGAGGTGTTGGAAGGAGGCTGACATTTACAGAGGGTGTTCTTGCATATAGACAGGAGAGCAATAGGCGACAGCCAGCTCAGGATCTATACTACTGTAGATTAAGTGACTGATTGATGTACAGAAATGGGGTGCTGTCATCAACCCAAAAGAGGCAGCCGTTTTATTGTTTGCTGGACACTATAATTGTTAGATCTGATATACCAACCTCGAAATTATTGATAGAAACATCAAAATAGTCAGCAGACTGAGATACCTGGGTATCACTTTTGATAGAAGCCTGCCTTTATGGACCTCATTGTGATAAAGTGACGAAAAGGACTGAATGCATTCAAGATATACCACAGCATAGGACACGTAACAAAGAATGCTGTTCACAGTGTTTCAGCACTTGATCATCTCATTTATAGATTATGGACTCAAAATGCTTGAAATTACACAAAGTCAGTATAGGAAGCCTGAGTACTTACATAAAGAAGCTATAAGGTTGATTCTAGGATGTACAAAAAATATCCTGGTAGTACTTGGCAATAAGAGGAGTGAGTTTAAGTGTCCAGGCAACAGTCAGACTTGTGCAGGATACTAATCCTTTTGGGCCAGCAGTGCGGGGACTGGCCAGCTGGCATTGCAGAAACAAAAGTTCAACAACTGACAATTCCCTCCCAGATTATGTGATTGTCTGTATAGATGGCTCCTTGTTGAGAAGCAGATGGAATCCTTGAGGGTTTATCTAAAGCAAAAGGGAATGGGTGACCCTGAATGCAACAAAACATGGCATAGAATATCACATAATCTAGATTGAGAATGGAGTTGGAAGCAGTTAGTGCAACCTTGAGAACCATCTGGACACATATGTCATGACTGAAACTGACTCACAAAGTATGCTGAACAGATATTATCCATGCAGTGTTAGGCGTCTCTTCAGAGGTCTCAGGTAGCGTTCTGGATATTTTCTTCAGGCATGCAGGTGTGTGGAGAAATGAACATGCAGGTAGACTGGCTGGTTCTACAGAACTTAATAAATGACAGGCTAGATGTACTCAAGAACCTTTGAAAGTGAGTCATCAGTGCAGAGGCACAAATAGATCAGAACAGTCTGAAGAGAGTGGTCCAGCGAGGAGAATGCTGGGGATCTGGCTGATAATGAGATCTCAGCATGTAGGCAAGACAGACATATAATCAGACTGCAACTGACACCATCAGCATTGGAATTCTGTGCTGGCTGCTGAAGTTGAGAACAAAGCACTTGTGGGAATGTTCCATAATTTCCATAATAATAATAATTCTTTCAGAAAAATAAAGTAAAGGACAACTTTGCCTCAGTGGGTATATGTTCTAAACTCACTTTTGTATTGACCAGTCAGCAGTCGTGGGATAATGTGGTCAGTATTATGCCGGTCAGTCATCTTTACTTCTCACGATATTTTCTGGTATCCATTTTAGGCTGCTACTCTTGTCTTTTATAAACAAGTTCTCCAGTTTGAACCAAAGACCTTGGGCGCTGCAGGCGAGCATAAAGACACTGTGTTAACATGCCCTCCACTGTTTTGTGCCATCCTTTATTTCTCCGCCTCAGCCAGTGATATTTATCACTTCGTTTCTGTGCCCCATACTGTGATACCTATAATTTTTTCACTCTGCCTCGGTCACTGATATATATCACTTCATTTCTGTGCCCCGTACTGTGATATCTGTCATTTCTTCACTCTGCCTCAGCAACTGATATATATATCACTTCATTTCTGTGCCCCATACTGTGATATCTGTCATTTCTTCACTCCGCCTCAGCAACAGATATATATATCACTTCATTTCTGTGCCCCATACTGTGATATCTGTCATTTCTTCACTCTGCCTCAGCAACATATATATATATATCACTTCATTTCTGTGCCCCATACTGTGATACCTATAATTTTTTCACTCCGCCTCAGCAACAGATATATATCACTTCATTTCTGTGCCCCATACTGTGATATCTGTCATTTCTTCACTCTGCCTCGGCCACTGATATATATCACTTCATTTCTGTCCCCCATACTGTGATATCTGTCATTTCTTCACTCCGCCTCAGCAACAGATATATATATCACTTCATTTCTGTGCCCCATACTGTGATATCTGTAATTTCTTCACTCTGCCTCAGCAACAGATATATATATATCACTTCATTTCTGTGCCCTATACTGTGATACCTATAATTTTTTCACTCCGCCTCAGCAACAGATATATATATATCACTTCATTTCTGTGCCCCATACTGTGATATCTGTCATTTCTTCACTCTGCCTCAGCAACAGATATATATATCACTTCATTTCTCTGCCTCAAACTGTGATATTTATCATTTAATTTCTCTGCTTAACATTGTAATAATAATCATTTCATTTAACGTGATGTGTCATTTTATTCTTTATCATTGGATACTGGGCATTATTAATAAAGAAATGAATATACTATTTATCATTTTGCCTCCTGGCCAAATGTTTGGACATTGTGGCAAGGACATCACTCAATCTTCGTTTGAACTGTTATAGTTCTATTTCTCTGTTATACCACATCTGGGAAGATTTAATAGAAACTCTGGAGGAGCCAGCACAACAGGAGCATTTCTTTTAGAAAAAGCTCCCTTTGTTAGAACTTTTGCCCCTTTACCTTTCTAATAACTCTCTGTTGGGGATGGGTTACAGCTTTCATGGTTTAGTTATGTTGCCCAGCTGAATCTAAAAAAAGTAAAGGACCCTTTTCCACGCCTCACAAGATGGGTGATGTGGTCAGCATCACGCCGGAGCTGAATCTAATAAAAAAATGCACTGCGTCTACCGCAAACTACTAAATGTAGCACTGCTGGGGTTGGTTCTGCAAGGTCATCTGTAGGATACGTAGCTGTCCTGCGGTTAAAAACATGGAACCCAACATCGTTCTTTGCTAAGATTAATTCCTCGAGAACCACTCTGCACCCCTGGCAGGCCAAACAAGCGTATACTGTGTATCTTCAGCGTTTTGTTTGCGGCTCTTTGGGCGGAAGCGATCTAGCCTCACTCTGTCAAGTGGCAGGCC